GAGCAAATTATCACCTGTGATTGTTAACTCACTCCTGTCTGAATGTTTGTTTGTCCTGTGTGTGTGTGTGTGTGTGTGTGTGTGTGTGTGTGTGTGTGTGTGTGTGTGTGTGTGTGTGTGTGTGTGTGTGTGTGTGTGTGTGTGTGTGCGTGTTGATGACCCGTGGGGGAGGGTTTTGATCAGTGGAGAGTATATTGTGCATTGTTGAGGCAGGTCTATCATGGGGTTGGTCAGGTAAAGCGAGTGTATTGTGGGAGAGATCAATGTGCTCTCCCATGTGTGTGTACTCACCTAGTTGTGTTTGCAGGGGATTGAGTTCTGGCTCTTTGGTCCCGCCTCTCAACTGTCAATCAACTAGTTTACAGATTCCTGAGCCTACTGGGCTCTCTCAAATCTACATTTGAAACTGTGCATGGAGTCAGCCTCCACCACATCACTACTTGTGATGTGTGTATGTGTGTATGTGTAAGTGCCATGTGTAGCTTGTGTGTGCATCATGTGTGTGTGTGTGTCTGGCATGAGAGTGGGCTACGAGTGTGACAGCGCAGTGCATCATAACTAACACTCGCCTCTTCTAGGTCAGGTGTAAGTCATCATGTCACTCCATGTTGCACCTCCTGCCATTTAATCTAAATTTCCTTCTGGCGTTCGAGTTCTCGATCACATCTCATCTTGGTTTTGTCGATGGAGGTGGTTTCCATGACCTCTTCTTCTTCTACTGCAGTCCATTTGTTGACCACTTGTTCAAGGTACGAATACCTCCTTATATATTTTCGACTCATTTCAATCTCTAGTTTCTACTTATGTGTTCTTGTCCTATTTGTTTTCATATTTAAAGATAATGTCAATGTTCACACACTCTATTCTCTTCAGAATCTTGTATATGGTGATCACGTCCCTTCTGTTGCTGCTATTGTTCCCATAGCTTAGTCTTCTTTATTCAGCCATTGGTCTTATTGGAAATATCTGCACTTCTTTAGGGGTAGTTGTGTGTAGAGTGATGGTAAACAAGGTGATTAGTGGGCCAGGTGCTGATGACGTCAGCCACCAGTGGTAGTTAGTGCTGATGACGTCAGCTGATGACATCAGGCTGGGGACTGATGTCATCAGACACTAGTCGTAGGTGATACTGAGGACATCAGACGTCAGTGGAAGGTGGTAGCAGATGCTAGTGACGCCAGTAGAAGGTGGAGCTGGGAGCTATAACCGGCAGACATTGGCTGCAAGCACTTGTCAGGATGTCAACGATACAAGACCAATTTAAGCCCGCCCCCCCTCCCAGGTACGCCCAGGTACGCTCCCCCTCTCTGTGTAGAGTAACGTGCCCAGACCTACATAATTTCGCATGGTGACTCTCTCACACTTCTTCAATATCCAAAGTATATACAATGACGGAACTACAGATAAAATCCATAGGTTGGTTTGGCTCGGTGTCCGGCTTGAGGCCTATCAGTCTTGGGATGGTTATCAGGGCCTCCATCATAGCTTATTGACCAGCCAGCCAGAATACTTTAGTCCTGAATACTGTCCACGACTAAAGTATATTATAGTATACTCTCGGTGTATATGTATAGGGAATAGAAGAACTCTCTCTCTCTCTCTCTCTCTCTCTCTCTCTCTCTCTCTATATATATATATATATATATATATTATATATATATATCTATATATATATATATATATATATATATATATATATATATATATATATATATGACAGTGTCAGACCACGGAGGAAGAATTGAAACAAGGAAGAATTAACACGTGATTTATCCAACATCCGACAGCGCTCAGAGGTCAACTTGGGCATAGATATTTCATCAACTGAAGATTGTTCGCATTTGTATTGCTCACGTGGCCCCACCAAATGAGGTGATTCGATGAAATATCTATGCCCAAGATGACCACCGAGCACTGTCGGATCTTGGATAAATAGTCTCACGACTACCAACATTTTTGTACAGTCAGTGTAGTCTAGCGGTTAAAGTACCAGGTACGCCACGGTGCATAGTGCTCCAGGTTGTCTGGGTTCGAATCCTTCTGGGGGTGTGGAGTTTTCAGTTGCATATTGGCTTGGGAACCATTCAAGCTTGTTTGCATATTACCAGGAATGTCAAGCCCGTTTGATTCTGTGTACGATATTTTGTATCCTCAGCAGTTTATTTCACTCAACGAGCTCAACTAATTACCGCTCACAAGTTGAGTATGAGGCGCACAATAAACTACCGTTTACAGGATGAGTATGGCGTGCACAATAAACTACCTTTCAAACAGTGCACAATAAACATGAAAATCAAAGTCAAATAACTAATGTTTGACAATCCGTCAGACTTAGCAAGAGCTTTCCAACTTACACATAAAGACACATCCAGTTTAGTGTCGTATACTGTATGGTAGTTCTCAATATTCGTAACTAAGATGCCAAATACTCATCTGGGCTTAACCAAATTTATAATTAATAATAAGCTGGCTACACGGGATTCCAAGCGTTTATCCTCAACTAGCATCGTGTCAGTCAGCCTCATTCAGTGGTATATAGTTATAGTGGCTTAATACTTTCTCTCATAACTGCCTTACCTTGCCCAGTCATGAATGATCATTCGGAAACCAATAAGACCATTATGCAAAAACAAACACAAAATGAAGTCACAAACTAGCAGAAATCCCTATTATTATGCATTATGGGAGAGCAATACGACCTTCTTCTTGAGGTTATCTTGAGATGATTTCGGGGCTTTTTAGTGTCCCCGCGGCCCGGTCCTCGACCAGGCCTCCACCCCCAGGAAGCAGCCCGTGACAGCTGACTAACACCCAGGTACCTATTTTACTGCTAGGTAACAGGGGCATAGGGTGAAAGAAACTCCGCCCATTGTTTCTCGCCGTCGCCTGGGATCGAACCCAGGACCACAGGATCACAAATGCAGCGTGCTGTCCGCTCGGCCGACCGGCTCACCTTACCTGAAAGGCTACACAAAAGTTGGGTGTATTCATAAAATTTACTATTATAAAAGCAGAATGAATTCGTAAAAACAAATGCAAATCCATGAAAATAAAACACGGTTAAAGACTGGCCAAGATGGTGCTAATTAATCATTCTAATAAATACAATAAAACATTAAACGTTAAACGATCATACAATCTTCATCAGCGCATCAATGAGCAATTTGACAAGTCAAATTATTGTCTCTTCTTTCACGTCCAATTACTGCAAAATAACACGTGTCAACAAATGATGGCAAACGCTCAACACAAGGTCAGATTACCACTACCAACTGTATAACTATCTCAACCTCACTGGGACGTTAACATGTTAATTAATAACATTAATTACCAACTGTATAACAATATCTCAGCCTCACTGGGACGTTAACATGTTAATTAATAACATTAATTAGCCACAAAGCCAGCAATATCTAATATTTTACGACTAACTTCAACAGTCAGTAACACAGCATTAAAGTCCTTCATTGAAAGTCAATATTTACCAACCAATAGCCTAATTCACTTGCATAACTGTTGCAGTATGCAAAGAGAAATCACAACATGATGTTTGTATGAGGAAAATATTGAGGCTATGGAATGGGATCGACCCGACGTCCCTGGACTTTCCAGGCACACATTCACAACTCGTCCTCCTACTAAACTCACTGATTTTTTTCTTACGCGATCGACACCGACGTAAAAACTACGGTGGTTCAGGGAAATTAAAACTCCTCATAGTATCGGCTACGGTAGGTTGGGTAGGTAGCCTATGTTGACCAGACTACACACTAGAAGGTGAAGGGACGACGACGTTTCGGTCCGTCCTGGACCATTCTCAATCGACTTGAGAATGGTCCAGGACGGACTGAAACGTCGTCGTCCCTTCACCTTCTAGTGTGTGGTCTGGTCAACATACTTTAGCCACGTTATTGTGACTCATCGCCTGCGGAGGTAGCCAAGGTTTTAACACTTTTTGGTGTTAAAAAAAGTTTCTTTTAAAAAAAGTACAAAAAGTTTCTGTTAAAAAAGTACTTTTTGTTTCTTTTTTTAACACAAGGTTTTTTAACACTTTTTCGCGTTTTAGAAAGACTAAACCATTGTATTTTTTACGAAGGAGAAATCGAGCGAACGTGATTGCCATTAGTTGCGCAACCGAGGCGATTAAACAAATGGCAACCGAGATCGGTTGCCATTTCTGTAATACATTCTCGCTTAGAACTAGACTTGAATTCCCTGATGGCATTTTGCTGGCTAATTAAACAAAAACACATTACAAAATACCTTTGTCACAAGTTGCTATTCCCGTGTGCGATTGTTATTGGAGGAGGCCGGTCGATTGTTGCTCCTCAGGGGCCAGATTCACGAAGCAGTTACGCAAGCACTTACGAAAGTGTACACCTTTCCTCAATCTTTGACGGCTTTGGTTACATTTATTAAACAGTTTACAAGCATGAAAACTTCCCATTCAACTGTTGTTATTGTTATAAACAGCCTCCTGGTGCTTCGGAGCTCATTAACTGTTTGATAATTGTAAACAAAGCCGCCAAAGTTTAAGAAAAGATGTACAGGTTCGTAAGTGCTTGCGTAAGTGCTTTCGTGAATCTGGCCCCAGGACGTCTTTCTTGAGGTTATCTTATCTTATCTATATACGTCAGCCATATACGAGAATTATTTCACTTTCTGCCTTGTTCTCTTAATGTTGGCCTGAACTCTTAGTGTACTTGACTCTTGGATTTGACCACTAAATAATCTTGAGGTCCAAAATCTCCCAACGAATCACATGTTTACTTCAACAACATTGGACAACCGGTAGCCTCCTAATGATCTTCACGAACAATAACAACTTGGCTGTCGATCTATGCAATAAATCATTCTTTTTTGTTGTTGTTTCCTGTTTCTTTCCTCGGCCGGGATATAAATACTCAGAAGATGGGGTCAGCTGTCATGAAGGTGCGTCTGGGTGCCCATAGATGGCGGTGGTGGGCATAACTCTGTTGGTCCGCCGGCGGCCCCAGCACAGTCCAGTCGCCGACTGCGTCTCCTCTTGCTCACATGGTTATGAATTCTTAACAAATTCGTTGTGCTATTAGTGTTGTGTTGAAAGAAAAATATATGGATATATTTTTTTCAAAGTGCTAAATTTGTTCCAGCTTATTTAAATGAGTTTAATAGGCTTCCTTGAGGGTGAATTGACACCGATTGTGTGCCGTGATATTTTCTTGTAATAGTAGGCTATTTTTACATTTTCATTGTTTGTAAACTAACTCTCCAGAGCTTGTGCTAATACTCCTGCAGAAGTTTTTAATTATGTGATCAATAACCATTATAAAAGTTAAAAATTATTAAAATATTTTTTTTATTACATTTCATTCACCGAAGGAGTCAATATAATTGTTTTCTGATGGGCTTAGTTAGCTTTTATTCATCTCCTTAGTGATTGTATTACTTAACGATTCGTGTGATTTAGTGTGAGAAATTAGTTTGTAAACAGACTCAGAGTCGTCATCTGGAGTACCAGTTCTCCGACTGGTTTCTCACAAGAGAGTGGATGACCTGGCCCGAGTGGGTACGGCGGCGGCCGGAGGGACCCCCACGCGCATGCCTGACAACCTTCCCGCTCCGGGGCCTTGTTAGGAGCTTTCACTATGAATAGTTTTTTCCATGTCCGCTGTTGTCAAGTCACCAATCCTGCCGCTTAGGCAGCTTGTTGTTTGGCCTTCATCTCTAGTTCTTTTTAATGCTATACTGTGCACCTCTCCCTGTGTGTGGCGTGTCCCATATAAAAGAAACGAAATACAACAATGCACAGTTTACGGGCTCACCATAGCCCGTGCTACATGGACACTTCGTTCTGAGTAGCTAAATCTGAAACAACAACAACAACAACAATACACCCTTACGGGCTATTCATGCCCGTGCCACCTTTTGGGTGGCTTAATCTTCATCAATCAATCACAATACACCCTGTTACGGGCTCACCATAGCCCGTGCTACTTGCCCCGCTCCTGTGCCAGGTAAGTCTACTACGGGCTCACCATAGCCCGTGCTACTTGCCCCGCTCCTGTGCCAGGTAAGTCCACTACGGGCTCACCATAGCCCGTGCTACTTGCCCCGCTCCTGTGCCAGGTAAGTCCACAACGGGCTCACCATAGCCCGTGCTACTTGCCCCGCTCCTGTGCCAGGTAAGTCCACAACGGGCTCACCATAGCCCGTGCTACTTGCCCCGCTCCTGTGCCAGGTAAGTCCACTACGGGCTCACCATAGCCCGTGCTACTTGCCCCGCTCCTGTGCCAGGTAAGTCCACAACGGGCTCACCATAGCCCGTGCTACTTGCCCCGCTCCTGTGCCAGGTAAGTCCACAACGGGCTCACCATAGCCCGTGCTACTTGCCCCGCTCCTGTGCCAGGTAAGTCCACAACGGGCTCACCATAGCCCGTGCTACTTGCCCCGCTCCTGTGCCAGGTAAGTCCACAACGGGCTCACCATAGCCCGTGCTACTTGCCCCGCTCCTGTGCCAGGTAAGTCCACAACGGGCTCACCATAGCCCGTGCTACTTGCCCCGCTCCTGTGCCAGGTAAGTCCACAACGGGCTCACCATAGCCCGTGCTACTTGCCCCGCTCCTGTGCCAGGTAAGTTACGGGTTCACCATAACCCGTGCTACTTGCCCCGCTCCTGTGCCAGGTAAGTCCACTACGGGCTCACCATAGCCCGTGCTACTTGCCCCGCTCCTGTGCCAGGTAAGTCCACAACGGGCTCACCATAGCCCGTGCTACTTGCCCCGCTCCTGTGCCAGGTAAGTCCACAACGGGCTCACCATAGCCCGTGCTACTTGCCCCGCTCCTGTGCCAGGTAAGTCCACAACGGGCTCACCATAGCCCGTGCTACTTGCCCCGCTCCTGTGCCAGGTAAGTCCACAACGGGCTCACCATAGCCCGTGCTACTTGCCCCGCTCCTGTGCCAGGTAAGTTACGGGTTCACCATAACCCGTGCTACTTGGAACTTGTTCCGAGTAACTGAATCTATAACAACAACAACAACAGAATTTTCCATTTTTGCATGTTATTATGATCATCTTAACTGTTGTGGGTTGTGATGAGATCTGCCATTTATGTGTATTTTTGTTTGTGTTAGGGAATTAGGTATGCTTAAGGGTGCCTTCTCGCCATGCCCTGTGGCTGGGGGGGGGGGGGGATTGGTGCCCTGAAGCAACATAAACACCCTATACCCCCCCCCCCCCCCCGAAATGGCAAGAGGAGTTAGGGGACAACAACAGCCGAAGACCCACGAACAGAAAACGGGACATGGCGTTAATTTCGCCACCCGCTTTTAATGCTACAGTGTTTGGCCGTATGGGTGTTATACGTCAAATTGCGTTGTACTATTCAAGAGAACGGGTTGTATAAGGACGGGAGCACGCAGGCTCGCTTCGCCTTGAACACATGCTCCAGGCCATTTAATACATCAATTTCGTGACGTTGTTAACGCTGAAGAGGAACGGCCGCGCTCACGCGCAACCCGTCCTCGTAATAGCACGTCGCATTTTGACGTATACTCCACCTAAGGCCAAAAATCGTCGCACTACAAAATGGCAGCGCCTCGCGAAATTGACATACTGTCCCGTTTTCTGTTTCGGGTCCTCTGGTAGGTTAGGATAAGGGCACTATAGTACGACAGTTTCCTGACGATGGGGAACAGTAGGAGAACGGGCTGCACATGCATACTGATTCACTCACACACACACACACACACACACACACCGGGGGGGGGGGGGGGGGGGGGCCGGCCGAGCGGACAGCACGCTGGACTTGTGATCCTGTGGTCCCGGGTTCTATCCTGGGCGCCGGCGAGAAACATTGGGCAGAGTTTCTTTCACCCTGATGCTCCTGTTACATAGCAATAAATAGGTACCTGGGAGTTAGTCAGCTGTCACGGGCTGCTTCCTGGTGTGTGTGTGTGTGTGTGTGTGAGTAATATATATATATATATATATATATATATATATATATATATATATATATATATATATATATATATATATATATATAAAAGTAGTAGTAGTAGTAGTTAGAAACAGTTGATTGACAGTTGAGAGGCGGGCGGAAAGAGCAAAGCTCAACCCCCGCAAGCACAACTAGGTGAGTACACACTCACCTACACATAGGTCTTCGCAGCTGAGTGGACAGCGCTCTGGGGTCGTAATTCTAAGGGCCAAGGTTCGATTCCATGTTGAAGCAGAAATAAATTTACAGTTCCTTTCACCTGATGCTTTTGTTCACCTTGCAGTAAATAGAAACCTGAGAGTTAGACAGCTGCTACGGTCTGCATCTCGGTGACCTGTGAGTGTGAGAGAGGCGGGATCCAAGAGCTAGCAAAGGATCCAAAAACTTTCTGGCACAACAACTAAAATACAAATAGTAAACACAAACACGGATCAGAAATAGCTGCATATTTCCGGACTGTCAGAAAGCCTTCGACACAGTACTCCATCAGAGACGTGTACATAAGTTAAGAGAAAGAGGCAGGAGTGACAGGGAAGGTACTCCAGTGGATGAGCACTTAAAATACGGTCTCAGGAAGATGAAAGATACCGGAAAGATATTATAAGTGGGGTCCCACATTGGTCAGTACGAAGGTAATCTAGTAATCAACGTCTTACGAGGTCGACACAGATAAATGAATCATGACTTCTTTGCGTATCTGAAGCTGGAGCCTACGGTTGATGAACTACTTTACCTACACCGGAGTGCATGGAGGGTTGTACGTCAAACTCGGGTCGCCTCCAGATTTCCTGTGAAGTCGATGGAGCCTGAGGTTGCATAACCTTCCGTGTCGTGGTACCGGGTAACGTGTGTGGATAGGAGTATCCTGATCCCTGGTTCCAGTCACCTCAGTGCTCCAATTAATTTTCTAAATCAAAATTATTCTTAAACTTGGTTAAGGAAGAGAATAACTCTCAAAGAAGCAGGGAAAGGCGGACATTATGATGGAGGTATCACAAGTCTAACAGCGTTGTGTCAATACCCGAACCTTATGGTGCATTATACCCAAGAGCTCACAGAAGCTGGACAGCTACCTGTTGTCTATCATTTGCCATTTTCTCGATATTTCTTTCATTCCTCCTATGACCACTGGATCAAACAGCACACAGTGAATATGCTGAATGTATCAGACACACAGTGTATGGGGCTTGGTAGTAAACAGCTGTGTTTCATAATTACTATAGTATTAGTGCTATCCAAACACTGATGAAACTCGATCGACGTCAGTGGTGAGTTTGCTGAGAGAAATAGTGTACCCAGTGGACACAGTTTCCAAGAGTAACGTTAATTCAACGGTTTCAATGTTAATTCAACGTTGTCAGCGTTAATTAAACGTTACATCAATGTCAAGTCAATGTAAATAACGTTGATTCAACGATGAAATAACACTGCCCTTGATTAACGTGCCTACTGGGTGCTCGTTTCAATTCACAAAGTTGTTTCTGTTTCACAGGAAAAGGTCATGTTCGAATGTTTATTCTCCAGCTGGTCTCGTTAAAATAACGTAGCCTCAGCGTTAAATGAACGTAGGCTCAACTCTAAATGAACGTAGGATCGACGCTAAATGAACGTCGTCTCCCCAGACTTGCCAGGAGGGAGTCTTGAACACCAAGACACAAAACCTGATACATAACAAATCTCCTTCAGTTACGAATGTTTCAATGTGATTCTTTGTCAGTCATCTCTCGGTATTGTCACTGACAGCTGTCATGGCCGTGTTTCGTCAACAACAACCAAAAAAAGCCGACCTATGGCAACCACTCTTCCTGTCACATCGTGTGTCACGGAGCCAACCTGTCAAGGGCGCCCCCCTGTCAGTGACAGAGGGCCTGACAGATTGGCTCATTTCTATCAGCCAGCCAACCTGTCAGCTCTTCCGCCAGGGCGTCAGCTTCTATTGGAGGAAAGCATGAAGAGTTGTGACCGTAATAACACTATAACCTGAGACTAACGGGTTGTAGTGTTAACACGGGTTGTAGTGTTATACACCCTACACTGTATCAGAGATGGTTCTTATCGAATTATATAAAAACAAAGCATATAATTCAATAATTATATGCAATAACTATATTTATAATACTATAAAATGTTTTTTTCTCTATCGTCGGGAAGCCTGAAGCCTGATTGAGATGCACCCTTCGGTCAACGACTGACCTATAACTTCCCACACAGGATGCAAACCCCCCCCACAACAGTTGCCTTACTCCCGGGTACCTTGGTTACTACTAGGTGATCAGAAGCATGAGGTGAAAGAAATCGCGGCCAAAACTATCTCGTCCTGCCCGGGGAATCGAACCTGGGATAGTACGGTTGCACCCAAGAGCGATTTTTTTTTTGGTTTGTTTATACCTCACCCGATTATCGGTCTTCCCTTCTATAATGTTACAGTATGTTAGCGTGGTATGTAGGAAGTGTATGTTGGGCTATCGTAAAGCCGAGCGGTTATCATATTGATCGCCTGGTTATCATGCAATGTGTTTGTCTGCTGGTTATATTCCCCTGGGATGGTGCCAGCGCACTTGCCAGTGGCGGAGGTAATCATGCAAGCGTAATTCTGCAACTGTCATGCGGCTGTCATTGTGCGGGCACTGCGCATGTGTAAGTCTTCACCCTACACTGAGTGTGTAAGTCTTCACCCTACACTGAGTGTGTAAGTCTTCACCCTACACTGCCTGTGTAAGACTTCACCCTACACTGCCTGTGTAAGACTTCACCCTACACTGCCTGTGTAAGTCTTCACCCTACACTGCCTGTGTAAGTCTTCACCCTACACTGAGTGTGTAAGTCTTCACCCTACACTGCCTGTGTAAGACTTCACCCTACACTGCCTGTGTAAGTCTTCAAACTACACTGAGTGTGTAAGTCTTCACCCTACACTGAGTGTGTAAGTCTTCACCCTACACTGAGTGTGTAAGTCTTCACCCTACACTGCCTGTGTAAGTCTTCACCCTACACTGAGTGTGTAAGTCTTCACCCTACACTGCCTGTGTAAGACTTCACCCTACACTGCCTGTGTAAGTCTTCACCCTACACTGAGTGTGTAAGAACATCCTACACTGCCTGTGTAAGAACACCCTACACTGCCTGTGTAAGAACACCCTACACTGTTAAGAACACCCTACACTGTTAAGAACACCCTACACTGCCTGTGTAAGAACACCCTACACTGCCTGTGTAAGAACACCCTACACTGTATAAGAACACCATACACTGTATAAGAACACCCTACACTGTATAAGAACACCCTACACTGTATAAGAACACCCTACACTGTATAAGAACACCCTACACTGTATAAGAACACTCTACACTGTATAAGAGCACCCTACACTGTATAAGAACACCATACACTGTATAAGAACACCCTACACTGTATAAGAGCACCCTACACTGTATAAGAACACCCTACACTGTATAAGAACACCCTACAGTGCCTGTGTAAGGGTGCACTGCGATATACTTGTCCCTGCCAAGACGGATACCTGTCACACCCGGCGGTTCAGCACTTGACGGCTGAGCTATGTTACATGGCTAGCGCGCTCCTGCAAAGACAAATGGGCACAACAGCCAGTATGAAATAGAAATAATAGTTTCTATTTCAGTGTGTACCAAGAAATAACAGTTGAAATAGTTTCAACTCTTCGAACTGAAATAGTCTCCTCCAAGGAGTGCCGGACCAACCGGGCTGTGGTGGGAATGCGGGCCTGCGGGCCGCTCCAAGCAACAGCCTGGTGGACCAAACTCTCACAAGTCAAGCCTGGCCTCGGGCCGGGCTTGGGGAGTAGAAGAACTCCCAGAACCCCATCAAGCAGGTATCAACCAGGTTAACGAGAATTATCGACCAGGCTGACGGAGTATTTCTGTATTAAGTGTTAGCATTGAAACAGAACGAGAGGGCGAAGGAACTTGAAAACAGAAAAGTGTTAGAGATGGGCATAGATCCGTGTGTATAAGGCCTTTGGAGCGGGGGCGGTAGAAGCCACCTCCTCCCATAATGATCAGAGAACGCAGTATAAAACTAATATACTAAGTTAAAACAGAGCCATTTTATCATAGATCTAAACTTGTGTGAAGTGATAAATAGTTTTTATTGCAAACAATATCGGAAATTCTTGTTCTGTATCTATATTTCATAAAGTAAAGGAGTTCCTTTATCTATATTCCAGTAGATAAAGGAACTACTATGAGACAAAGCTCTGTTGTTTAGAATATGAAACAAGTAACATTTATATTGCTTAATAATATTATATTGCTAAATAATATTCAATATCGAAAATAGTAACAATAATACACAGAGCAATCACATTATCGTAATATATCAACGAGAAAATCCACATGAGCCGTAATGAGGATTCGAACCTACTCGCTGGGTGTTCCTAGATGCCTGCTCTCATAGACTACGTCACGACATGGTCAAAACATTGGTAACCTGGAGTACTACTGCACCTTCCAGGATCCCGAGGCTTCCACTCAAGCCTCACTCAGTTTCCCTCTCCCCCCATGCACTCTTGCTCTGTCCTCCAGTAATTCTACATCTGACGCCCCTCTTACAATACAATTTCTTTTGACCATGTCGTAGCGTAGTCGACTAGAGCGTGCATCTGGGAACCCCCAGCGCATAAGTTCGAACCCTCATCACGGCTCCTGTGGATTTTCTCTATAAAAATAATAAAAATGACATACCTGCAATGAGTAATAGTATATTGTTATTGTAGTGGGAGGTTGATCAATGTTCTGATACTAGTTATCGTTACAATGAAAGGTGAGCAGATGAATTGTCAGTGTTCAAGACACATTATCCACTAAGGATAATGCCGTTTTATCAGCTTTAAGATGAAATATTGCATATCGACTGAAGTGAAATTAGAACGCTAAGTGAAAATCATTGGAAACTGGAAAATCATATTCTTGCTTTTTTTTATTACATAATATTTTGTGGCAGGGGCCTGGCGGCTATCTATCCCTAGATAGCGCTAGGGATTCGTAGTCTTACGGTTCCGGGTTCGATCCCCGGCGGAGGCGGAAACAAATGGGCACAGTTATTTCATCTTGATGCTTCCTGTTCACCTAGCAGTAAATAGGTACCTGGGAGTTAGACAGCAGCAACGGGATGCTTCGTGGGGGTGTGAAACAAAAAAAGGAGGCCTGGTCGAGGACCGGGCCGCGGGGACGCTAAGTCCCGAAATCATCTCAAGATAACCTCAAGATAACAATGACACTTGACACCATTTTTTATTTCCGTTTTTTTAATTCTCTTTTATTGTTATATATATATTATTCAGTTTTGCTGACCATTTCTGTTTGGATATTTTCTCTTTTCTAGCATGACTTTGTTCTTTGTTCACGTAATGTTTCTTGAACTTCTTTATCAGTCTAACTTTACCAGAATCTGCATTTTTATACTTTGCTTTTGTATTTTACAGGCAGACATTGACGAGAAGACTATGCACGGTAAGTGGCCCCAGTCTCCATGACAAGACTAAGATACATTAAAGATAACCTTAGTTAAAAAGGACAAGATACAAAATACTGATAGAAGCTGCGTTTCAACGTATCTTAATTGGATGAGTAATTGAGTAACCAATTAAGATATGTTGAGTAAATTTGTTGACATACTATAATTGGTTGATAAATATTTTCTCTGTTGCAATAGACACGAGGTCATTGGCGCTGTATAAACATATTATTTTATATATATATATATATATATATATATATATATATATATATATATATATATATATATATATATATATATATATACATATACAAGAGTTGTTACATTCTTGTACAGCCACTAGTACGCGTAGCATTTCGGGCAGGTCCCTGGAATACGATCCCCTGCCGCAAAGAATCGTTTTTTCATCCAAGTACACATTTTACTGTTGCGTTAAACAGAGGCTACAGTTAAGAAATTGCGCCCAGTAAATCCTCCCTGGCCAGGATACGAACCCATGACATAGCGCTCGCGGAACGCCAGGCGAGTGTCTTACCACTACACCACGGAGACTGTGAACAGTGTATATATACAGTTTATAATCTGTACATTACGGGGACAGGGCTCTGGGGCCCAAGAGAACCAAAGGGATCATACATGAAAGATGGAATGATCTTAGTCTGTCTCTTATTCTTTAGCATCAAGATAGGTCCATAAATCCCTGTCTTAAGGGAGGTGGTAAATGTTAACAAACTCCTAAAGTTTGTAGTTAATAACTGGATTTTATTCTAAGATTAAGAAGTGGTCGCAGAGGTAGTGGGCCCCCATGATCTGAGAGGGAGTGGGCCCCATGATCTTAGAGGTAGTGGGCCTCATGATCTGAGAGGTAGTGGCGCCCATGATCTGAGAGGTAGTGGCGCCCATGATCTGAGAGGGAGTGGGCCCCATGATCTGAGAGGGAGTGGACCCCATGATCTGAGAGGTAGTGGCGCCCATGATCTGAGAGGGAGTGGGCCCCATGATCTGAGAGGGAGTGGGCCCCATGATCTGAGAGGGAGTGGGCCCCATGATCTGAGAGGTAGTGGGCCCCATGATCTGAGAGGTAGTGGCCCCATAACCTGAGAGGGAGTGGACCCATAACCTGAGAGGTAGTGGGCCCCATAATCTGAGAGGTAGTGGGCCCCATAACCTGAGAGGTAGTGGGCCCCATAATCTGAGAGGTAGTGGGCCCCATAACCTGAGAGGTAGTGGACCCATAACCTGAGAGGTAGTGGGCCTACGACCTGAAGGGACGGATAGGGAGTGGACTTACGATAAAAATAACGCAGTGTCCCATATCGTCAGGTATTGTACCCTTCAATGAATACGAATCTTGTAGCACAGTGGGCGTCGTTCTCGACTCACATTCGGGGATCCTGGGGGCTCGATTTCCAAGCTCGATTCTCGATTCGAATCCTATAGTATATATAAATACAAGCTTCCTGTCCCCGACAACAAGAATTATTAACATTTAAGTGTGTGATCAGACACTCCATTTTCTTTAAAACCCTTTAAAGAAAACGTTCATACAACTTGCTGATTTCACGAGTACCTAAAGTAATGGAGCATTTAGAATATTTACCTGAGGGCCACCATCTGTATAATGGTCTCGACGAGGACAGAAAGTCGGCGGTTTGTCAAATGCTCCCCCTCTCACTATTTGACCTAGGAATGCTATTGCCGGGGGGAAAGAGGGGCAGGAAGCATGCAAATGCTATCAACTCGTCACTGACGAGTCCGCCGGCCGCTCATTCAGCAATCCGTAGCCACCTCTTGTCAACAACTTCCTTACGGGCTCGCCATAGCCCGTGCTACATGGACACTTCGTTCTGAGTAGCTAAATCTGAAACAACACCAACTTCCAGCTCTACGGGGCCGCCTTCTTGTAAACATTGGACCACAAAGTGCGTCTGTGTGGACGGTGCCGAAATGTCTCGTCCAGTTCACCGCTTAAGATCTTTGTAACTGTTGGTGCTGGTAGCAAGTGTCCGGATTAAGGCCTTGGATAAGGACTTCCTAGAACTGGGAGAAAAAAGTCTATTATTATTATTAATTATTATTATTATTATTATCTTTATTTTTATTATTAATATAATTTAAAATTTTAATAATATAATTATTTAATAATAATAATAATAATATATGATTATTATTATTCAGAGAAATCCCATTATCATCGTATATCAATGAGCAAATTCACAGGAGCCGTGATGAAGATTCGAAACTATGTGCTGGGTGTTCCCAGATGCCCGCTATAGTCGACTACGCCACGACATGGTCAAAATAATTGCAACCTTGGTTACCACTGCACCCTCGAGGCTTCCTGAGGCTTCATGAGACTTTACAATACTAATGTATGCTTGCTGGTTAGTTAGTCAGCTGTCGTGGTCTTAATAACCCCCTCCCCCCCCAGGGGTGGATGGGCTATGAGTCCAACATTAAACCAAACAAGCCAAGCGGCTCAATTGACTGGCTTTGGAATGGTTTCATATTTGCGAGTTTTCTTTTGTTACTCATTTTTTCCGACGTGATTTTTCTTCCTCCCACAGTCACTTACACGGGATTTATGTATTAGTAAAATTAATATTATTTATGTATTAATAAAATTAATACATAAATGAGAAGCTACACCAGACGGTGTAGCTTCTCATTTATGTATTAATTTTATCTTCCCATTCTCTACCTACCTCGTTATCCCTCCCTACCTCCCTCACAATCCCTCCCTACCTCCCTCACAATCCCTCCCTACCTCCCTCACAATCCCTCCCTACCTCCCTCACAATCCCTCCCTAGCTCCCTCACAATCCCTCCCTACCTCCCTCACAATCCCTCCCTACCTCCCTACCTCCCTCACAATACCTCCCTACCTCCCTCACAATCCCTCCCTACCTCCCTCACAATCCTTCCCTCCAACCCAACGCCTTTTCCACCAAAATTTAGCACTTTTCAGCGGTGAATATTGGATTATGTATAATAATTTGAGGATTCTGAGGGTTCAGTGAGGATTGTGAAGCCGCCTTCTGGCCAGGTCAGATCGATTATTGTATCGTCTAGGGACGCGGGTAGTGGGGACCCCCAGAGCCATCTTCCGGCTTGACCCTCGTTGGAGAGTTAGAGTAAATGATCACCTTATTTCGATGCTAAACAAATTCTTATATTTTAACTCTTCTCATTTTCATATTTCTGATCCTAAACCTCTCCATATTTCTCAATATGGTCGGTAGAGCGACAGTCTCGCTTCATGCAGGTCGACGTTCAATCCCCGACCGTCCAAGTGGTTGGGCACCATTCCTTCTTCCCACCCGCCCGGTCCCATCTCAAATCCTTATCCTGATCCCTTCCAAGGGCTATATAGTCGTAATGGCTTGGCGCTTTCCCCTGATAATTCCCTCCCTCCCTCTCACTCACTGTTGATCCAGTTCTCTCCTTCGGCCCTACCCCTCTCCTTCTCTCTCTCTCTCTCTCTCTCTCTCTCTCTCTCTCTCTCTCTCTCTCTCTCTCTCTCTCTCTCTCTCTCTCTCTCTCTCTCTCTCTCTCTCTCTCTCTCTCTCCCGCACGAACCTGTGTACTCTGCCTGTGTCTGAAGTGTCTCCCTCCTCACACACAATACATCTTTCACTAATCTTGCAGCCCTCCGTAAGGCCTTCGCAACGGTCGACAAGGCGAAGAAGGGCTACATCGAAGCCAAGGACCTGGAGGCCATCTTAAACAACATGGGCACCGCCTTCGACGTCGACGACCTCAACGAGACCATCAAAAGAGTCGACATTGACCGTGAGTGAATTAATGGAAATTTCTCCCCGTAAACTAATTTGAAATTGGGATTTTGATTAATTGCATTTTGGGCTAAGTCCGCTCCGAGCTACGGCTGATTGGTTCTCAATTATTAATGTATATTATCACCCCTTCTGTCCTCAGGTCTGTTGAGTTCAAGAGTATTTTGTTTGTGTGTTTTATTCTTTTTGATGTATACATGATTTACATAAATAATCAAGACGATTATAATATTACAGCTTCGAACATTAGCTAAACACGAATCAAAGGATATTCATATAAGTATATGGATACGTGCTCGCATACACTCACACATACGCACACACACACACACGCACGCAAGCGCACACACATACACACACACTTTCGGGGAGCTGGTGGCTGAATGGACAGCACGCTGGGCACGTAATTCTGTGAACCGGGGTTCGATTTCCAGCACCGGCGAGAAACAAAATGGGCAGAGTTTCTTTCACCTTGATGCCCCTGTTACCTAACAGTAAATTGGTACCTGGGAGTTAGACAGCTGTTACGGGTTGCTTCCGGTGTGTGTGTGTGTGTGTGTGTGTGTGTGTGTGTGTGTGTGTGTGTGTGTGTGTGTGTGTGTGTGTGTGTGTGTGTGTGTGTGTGTGGAAAAAAATAGTAGTTAATAACAGTTGATTAATTGACAGTTGAGAGGCGAATCGAAAGAGCAGAGCTCAATCCCCGCAAGCACAGTTAGGTGAATACACACACACACACACACACACACACACACACACACACACACACACACACACACACACACACACACACACACACACACACACACACACATGAGAGGGTTTCAGACTTTTTGTTGAGCTCCCTGCGATGGAGGCAATATCCGGTTATTGAACAGGGCAATGATGCATTGCATCAAAGCACCAATATAAATTCAGTGAAAGTAGATCATGTGTAACCAATCTATTCCAGGTTACGATGAAATGACAGCCATAAAGGAGGAGAGAGAGAGAGAGAGAGAGAGAGAGAGAGAGAGAGAGAGAGAGAGAGAGAAGAGTGTGCTCTGACAAAACACACCTGACATGAGTGTGCTCTGACAAAACACACCTGACATGCTTGTTAGAGTGTTCTACATCATCCCACATGAAAGACCTCCATGCAAACCTGACAGCCAGATTGGTCTATCTGCGAAATTGTTTGTTTAGATGAGTGGGTATCTGTCCAACAAAAATCAGACGATAACGATGAGAGAGAGACAACTGCAGCAGCTGGAGATGACATGTGGCGGGCCCAAAGAGCCAGAGCTCAACCCCCCGCAAGCACATACTAGGTGAATACATGTGGGTGGCCACAATATTCTACGACCGATTGATTAATGAAGATTAAGCCACCCAAGAGGTGGCACGGGCATGAATAACCCGTAATTCTACGACCCCCTTCTGTTCCTAATATATACGTATAGGACCTAGCACAAGACCCGAAATCATTTAGATCTCTATTTACGGGCGATCCAAAGCTAATGTGAAGATTTAGAAGCAAACAAAATAAAATCTGAAATTAAGGGGGAGGGAGGGGAACCTGATGTACTCAACCCGTTCTCGCACTTGCTTATAGTCAATATCTTGCTTATGAATAAGTGCATATGTGACATACTAATTTATTGTGAATTCTTCAGTTTACCTTGAAATGATGAAAACCACAACCTAACCTAACCTTCTTAGTATATTAAGATATTACAATTAGTACTGAACCTATACCTATAATGATATTACAGTTTTATAAAAATAATAAAACAAAACTAAAATATTTAAATAAATTGTAAAGTAACTCAGGATATTATAAAATTTTGTACAAAATCTCTATTGTTTAATAAAACTGAGAGGAAAATTAAAAAAAATATGGCTTAGAATATGTGACATATACACTTATTTATAAGCAAAATAGTGACTATAAGCAATAAGTCATATATGTGCTGTCTTGTGCGAGAGCGGGTTGATGTACTGCAACATTGGTCAGAAAGGTGGCTGCAAGACTTAAAGCTGGGCACATGAAAGTAGTGCACGCAGAGTAGGGAAAACAAGTCCATAGGGACATATTGTGTGAGGGTTACCAAGTTTAAGGCGAAGACCCCACTGTGTTTAATGGTAACATTTATATGAAATGCCTTCTTGCTCTCTCTTGACAAAGTAACAGGGTACGATAATTAGAGAACTGATCAGACCAACTCGCCCTCTTAATAACACGTCGCATTTTGACGTATACTCTACCTACGGCCAAACACTGTGTACTACAAAATGGAAGCGGCTCGCGAAATTGACATACTGTCCCGTTTCCTGTCCGTGGGTGCTACAGTAGGTTAGGATAAGGGCATTATAGTACGGACAGTTTTTTTGACGTACGGATCGCTGGCGAGGACGGGCTGTATCACGACACTGGTGAGAGACCATGTTACGTTAACCATGGTACTTGTTCCATGTTACCGTGGTACAAGTACCATGTTAACCACGGTACAAGTACCATGTTACCGTGGTACAAGTACCATATTAACCACGGTACAAGTACCATGTTACCCATGGTGCAAGTACCATATTAACCACGGTACAAGTACCATGTTACCCATGGTGCAAGTACCATATTAACCACGGTACAACTACCATGTTAACGTGGTACAAGTACCATGAACAAGCTGGCGTTGTGTCTCTCCTTCTTGACATTAACGATGACGTAGATGCGCTGAGATGTGTATCAGTCAGCTATATGCTCTTCACTGTAATATTTATGGTGTACTATTTGTAAGAGTTCACTGTATTGATTATGGTAGTCAAGAGTACTACGAGTCTTGATGGTCGTTCACCGAACTAGCCATTCCCCTGCACTGTGTTCAGAAAGCCTCCTCACTTGTACCACACAAAGCTGCCTGTCCTCCCTGTTCATTTGCCAAGTGCGCTCCTAGTGTGTATAACAGGCCCCTAACAGTGGCATTCATAACCTGTTTAAATAACTTTTGTGACTTACGCTTCCTCTGCATATTAAGTCAGGGGGACCCGGAAATGAAGGGATTGATATGTGGGGGGATTTTCACAGGGCTAACTTTATATATAACTTATAACTTTTGTTGTTCGTATAATTTATATATAAGTTACAATATATTTTATGTAGTTTGAGCAGCCTGAGGGCAGCAATATCCCAGGAACATCAACTAAATTTCGGAGACTTGAGGCAAAGTGAAATTCACACCAGTTACTCCATCTATCATCATTCTATTATGCAGGAAGAACCGCACGTCTATGGGTCATCCAATAATGTTCTAATGGGCAGATGATACATCTGGCCTGCTGTGAATGGGCATTAGCTGGTGACGTGCTCACATTTCATGCTTTTGTAGAGCCATTCCACTCTGATATGCCCGGGTGTGGTTTGACATAAATGGGGCTCCGAGTCTTGGATTTCTGTATTAAATATACTGTAATGTATTGTAACAATTCCCTGCCGTCGCAACTGGAAGGTACAGTTATTCTCCACAATAAAATAACTTGCAACGCAGAGAAACGGGTTCCCTCGCCTGATTGATTTGTATTTCATGTTTAAACGAACGTTACATTAGGGAAAATAGACATTAATCACGCAAATATTAATCATATGTCCAGCAACTGGACTGCTGGAACGTGTCCAGCAGTCTCTCGACCTCCGAAGACGAGCTGTTGGGATGACCTTGACCCATCTACACCACTGTGGACACTATTTAATAATTTTCTGTTCCTGAGTAATGTTATTTTCTGGCTGCTTATGCCTCAAAGGTGTATAAAATGGTCGTTAGTTCCTTTCAAAATTTGCTTTGACTTTTGCTTAAGACTGCTTCGAAAAGATCTTTGTTCAAGACTGCCTCAAGAAGATTTTTGCTTAAGACAGACGACTCGAAGTACCTGAAGGGTTACGAAAGAATGTGTCACGGCTTCAAGACGTTATCCCTAAGCAAGATTCGAGGGAAATAGTGGCCATTTTCTATATTTTGGAGGCACAAGCAATCGCTATCAGAAACAAATTTTTACAGTGTGTTACAGGAACGTGTCCAGAAGTGGTCATGTAATTGTTGACATCACGAACGTACATAAGACATTTATGCCGTTTTTCAGGATAGGAATAGAGGGGTAAGGAGGGGTTAGAGAGGGGGGTTAGGTAAGGATAGTAGAGAGCGGAATACATAAGGATAGTAGACATGGGGGGGGAGAAGAAAAAGGAGTAGAGTGAGGGAAGAGAGAGAGAGAGAAAGAGAGAGAGAGAGAGAATTATGAGGGGAAAATGCCAAGCCATTACGACTATATAATACTTGAAAGAGGTCAGGATAAAAATTTAGGATGGAACAGGGGAAGGGGGGAGGGGAAAGGAATAGTGCCCAACCACTTGGACAGTCGGGGATTGAACGCCGACCAGCACGAAGCGAGACCGTCGCTCTACCGTCCAACCCAAGTGCTTGGGGCTAGAGAGAGGGAAGAGACAAGGTAGAAAGTAATACGGTATTGGGAATAGAGAAAGGTCTTAGAGAAGTGGTACAGAGAGGTCAATAGAAGAGGCAGAAGAGAATGCCGTGTTTAGGGTGAGTTGAGGAGGTAGAGAACGAGGGAACATAAAGAGAAATGTGATAATTGGACGCAAAGAGGAGACAGTAATTACTATTATGTTATTACGAGGTTCGTGGACCGGCCCTGAGGAAGAGAGGCAAAGTGAGAGGAGCAAAGAGTGGTTATCTTGAGGTTATCTTCAGATGATTTCGGGGCTTTAGTGTCCCCGCGGCCCGGTCCTCGACCAGGCCTCCACCCCCAGGAAGCAGCCCGTGACAGCTGACTAACACCCAGGTACCTATTTTACTGCTAGGCAACAGGGGCATAGGGTGAAAGAAACTCTGCCCATTGTTTCTCGCCGGCGCCTGAGATCGAACCGGGGACCACAGGATCACAAGCCCAGCGTGCTGTCCGCTCCTCGACCGAGTGAAAGGTAATGTGATGAGAAGAGAGGAAGGGTAAAGTACATCAAGGAATATACTGCTGGGAGAGGGATATACTGGAGCGAGAGGCTCCAGCTCTTCCCCAGCAGGCACCTGGATGGTGTTCCAGCAGAGACCAGGATGGTGTTCCAGTAGACACCAGGATTGTGTTCCAGCAGAGACCAGGATGGTGTTCCAGCAGACACCAGGATTGTGTTCCAGCAGACACCAGGATGGTGTTCCAGCAGAGACCAGGATGGTGTTCCAGTAGACACCAGGATTGTGTTCCAGCAGAGACCAGGATTGTGTTCCAGCAGAGACCAGGATGGTGTTCCAGTAGACACCAGGATGGTGTTCCAGCAGACACCAGGATTGTGTTCCAGCAGACAGCAGGATGGTGTTCCAGAAGACAGCTGGATGGTGTTCCAGCAGACACCAGAATGGTGTTCCAGCAGAGACCAGGATGGTGTTCCAGCAGACACCAGAATGGTGTTCCAGCAGACACCAGGATTGTGTTCCAGCAGACACCAGAATGGTGTTCCAGCAGACACCAGGATTGTGTTCCAGCAGATACCTGAATGGTGTTCCAGCAGACACCTAAATGGTCTTCCAGCAGACACCTGGAGGGAGTTTCTAAAACTATAAAACGATTCTATTTGGCATCTGGTGCCGACTCCTCCTGCAGGTGCCAGGGTGCCACAGTCTACTGGCACTGTGCCACCTCACAGATCCCTTCAACTTCTTCCTGTACCGAATACGTAAATCAAACTTATTTCCAGGAGATCTGCATCTGACAGATCATTGTATTGCACAGATCATTATAATACATGGATCATTGTGATAGATCACTATAATGCATAGGTCACTCTAATACATAGATCACTGGTATTACATAGATTATAATACATAAATTACTATAATACATAGATCATTATATTATCATTATAGGAATGTTGTAGATCATTATATTATCATTATAGTAATATTAAAGATCATTATATTATCATTATATTAATATTATAGATCCTTATATTATCATTATATAAAATATTATAGATCATTATATTATCATTATAGGAATATTGTAGATCATTATATTATCATTATAGTAATATTATAGATCATTATATTATCATTATATTAATATTATAGATCCTTATATTATCATTATATTAATATTATAGATCCTTATATTATCATTATATAAAATATTATAGATCATTATATTATCATTATAGTAATACATAGCATATGTCATGACAGGATTCTCATCTTCAGTTCTTTGTTACTCTTAAGTATTATTTAAGAAATATAGTTAAAGGTAATTATCCATTCGTCACCTGCGACGCCCTGGCCATGGCCCCTACACCCGCTAAGTTACGCTCTCTCGCTCACAGAGGACGGTAAGATCAACTTCGACAAGTTCGTCATCATCGCCTCGAACTTCATCCAGGACGACGACGAGGAGACCATTACCAGCGAGCTCAAGGAGGCTTTCAGGCTCTACGACAAAGAAGGTAGGAAGACGCGAGAGAGAGAGAGAGAGAGAGAGAGAGAGAGAGAGAGAGAGAGAGAGAGAGAGAGAGAGAGAGAGAGAGAGAGAGAGAGAGAGAGAGAGAGAGAGAGAGAGAGAGAGAGATCATACACGGTAAAATACTTAATGCGACATTGGGGTTCATTAATCTGGAGCCTGTGGTGATATGACCAGAACTGGGTGCTAAGGGGAATGGCAACTAGGGGAAGGTTACCAGGGGAAAGAGATACTAGGGGAAAGGGTTACTAGGGAAAGGGTTACTAGGGAAAGTGTTACTAGGGAAAGGGGTGCGGACACGGGATGAGGGTACCTCGTCCCGAGAAAAAACTCGTTATTTTTCCCTTCTTAGAAGCCCAGTTTCATGAAAGCTTGACCCCCTGATGATACAAAGGCAAATGCTGATACAATCCCTCAGGTGGTAGGAATGAGCAGCCTATTGCAGCTCTGAATCTACCCGAATTTACCTGAAGGACACCATGTTTTGTGGCCTTTACTGGGAGAGGAAACCAACGGCTTGTTGAAGGTCCCCAATCCACCCACCTCTCTTTTAATAAAGTTTTTTTCCAAGTGAGTTTTGAATTGGTATACATGAGCATTTGACAAACCGTCGGCTTTCTGTCCTCGTCGAGGCTACTAGAATTTGTGTCCTTAAGGTAGATTCAGGTAAATTTACAGCTTAAACGGGTGACGATTTCAAGGGCTTATTTCCCTGTGGGTGAAAACAAAGTTTTCCCTGTTGTGGGTCCTGTTGTGTGTCCTGTTGTGGGTCCTGTTGTGGGTCCTGTTGTGTGTCCTGTTGTGTACCCTGTTGAGTGTGAAGCTGTTGACCCCTGGGTAAGTTACACTAGACCCTTAAAATAAGTCGTCTTGATCAGTGTCTTACATGTGTTCAGTATGTCTCAAAGACTCCGATGATCTCAGCCGTGTCACGTCTGGTCCTAAATGCTCTTAACCCTGAGGCCCTCGGTCTTCCCTGGCACGAGAGTTTATTTATGTCATGCCAACAGCCTGTTTGAAATAAGACTCTACCAGGTGACCCAAAGGGGGCCCTCAGAGACCCTACCAGGTGACCCAAAGGGGGCCCTCAGAGACCCTACCAGGTGACCCAAAGGGGGCCCTCAGAGACCCTACCAGGTGACCCAAAGGGGCCCACAGAGACCCTACCAGGTGACCCAAAGGGGCCTTCAGAGACCCCTACCAGGTGACCCAAAGGGGCCCACAGAGGCCCCCTATCAGGTGACCCAAAGGGGCCCACAGAGGCCCGCTAGCAGAGCCTGCTGGGGCCATTATCTGGCTCTCAGGATCCATCAGCATGTCAAGATGGCTGCCGATGGGGTAGGACAGAGCGTCGTTGAAGCCTGTAATATCCACACCAGGAAAATATAGTGATCCAAGAGGAAGAGAAGGGACGGAAGAAACTGGAACAGGAGGAGAGGAAGGAGGAAAAGATGAAACAAAAAATGAGTCGAGGATGAAGAACTTCTTTGCCAATTGTTTTGAGGTATTTTTGTTTCACTTTTATCCCCCGAGAAACAAAAGAGAAAAAATAAATTTTGGCGGGAAGTGCTTTATTGCTCGAGTGCTCCGAGGTGGAGACTGGCGGAGAGTGTTAATTATATATATTTAATTTAATATATAATTATATATATTTAATATTATATATATTAAATATAATTCTTATTATGTTAAATATCACATCATTATGTTATATTTAATTCTGCGTTCATATTATATTTCGATTTTTAAGGTTTCTACTGAACACTGTATATGTACTTCTCAGGTAATGATCATGTCTCTGCCTTTCCTTCAGGCAACGGCTACATCACCACGCAGACGCTAAAGGAGATCCTGAAGGAGCTGGACAACAAACTCTCAGACAACGATCTAAACGACATCATCGAGGAGATCGACGAGGAAGGGAAGGGCAAGGTCGACTTCGAGGGTTTCAGAGAACTGATGATCTAGCGTGTGTCCGTCCTCGAGGGGCGAGATAGAGCTGGTCGAGGCCTCGTGGCGACCTTCTCTCCCACGAGACCTCGACCAAAGCACTTCAGGATTGACCGAAGCAAATGGTCTGAAGATCCTTTGCTCTGTTGGATCCCTTGAGTGTTTTTTTTTGTTACTTAGAAGATCGAGGACACGTAGTAGGTGATAAGTTTGGCGAGAGATAACTTCTTGTTATTGTATGATAGGTGGATATCTATCAATAGAACGCTTGTTGAAAAATGTTGCAAACGCTGATTATATTCAAAGGTTTCATTACACACATTCAAAATTCGAGTTTTGGAAAATGTTAATTCATGACAGGAATGTGCTGTGGCACGAAATTAATAATCTAAGCTTGGGGCCTGAAAAATGAGAGACCATCACTCGAACTTTCAGACCAGGATGCAAGAATCAGTGATGACCGAAATATATGCTTTATTATGTATATATATATATATATATATATATATATATATATATATATATATATATATATATATATATATATATATATATATATATATATATATACTAGATGGAGCATGCGGTGGTGCCTGGGTCTGTATCTCTCTCTCACATTCTTCTTCCATCCCCCCCTCCTATTCTTCCATTCTTTCTCTCTGTCTCTCTCTTCCTCCCATCCTCCCTCCCTCTCATGCTTCCACTTTCCAGTCAGTTCAGTCAATATCTGAATTCACATTTTCTTTATTAATATATTTGGTACATCTGCATTTGTGCAGCTACCCTAGACTATATGAAGAGGAGTACAGTGTGTCGAAAAGCTAGCTACGTGATGTTGTCATCACACAGGATGGTTAGTCATACAGAGACATGTGATAAGTAGTCTGCACTGGCAGACTCTGGGTGCATTATGAGGATATCATCAACACAAGAGTGAATAAGATAGCAGTGGTAATAAAAGTCTCCATCTCGCAGGATGGTTAGTTATACAGGGCCATATGTTCAGTAGCCTGCACTGGCAAATTTTGGGTGCAATATGAGGATATATTCAAGAACACGAGTGAATAAAGTAGTTGCACGAATGTTAAAGTCTATGGACTCGAGTCAGAACATTTCACATTCACAGACTTTGTGAAGAAGGGGGCACTGGGGCCGTGTCCATCTTCAGGGGGGCACAACGCTACCTAACTACTGCTGAGTAAATCATAATTAGTCCTGCCAAGTTTAATGAGGCTGGTCCCAAGCATGTGGCCTATAGTCTCGGACAGACAGAGATATATGCTATATGCTGTCTTATAGATCCCGATAAATCCTTGAAATCTGTTTTCTTTTAAATTTAAATTTTGCACATAAAAGCCCCCCCCCCCCTCGTCCCATCCCAAATCCTTATCCTATTCCCTTCCAAGTGCTATATAGTCGTAATGGCTTGGCACTTCTCCTTCCCCCCTGATAGTTCCCTTCCCTTTCTACTAATTCAATAAAAGTTTGTCAATAATATTTTTTTAGAAGAGTTGATCACATTTGCGGTATTACTGGCGGCTAGCATCTTAGGAGACAGCATCAGCGCGCATCATAATAATTAAACGCATAATTAACGCCTTATCATGCGTTATCATGCGTGAATTATCCCCTGATCAAGCTTGTCACGAGAAGTTACCTCGACGCGATCAAACAGAAAAGCTGTACATGAAGTGGTGGTTTGTCCAAGCTTGCGGCGTCCGTCTAATTAAAGAGCATTTATATGTAACTCAAAAAAGCTTATGATGTACAGAACTGATTTATTCCCTAGTGTATGCTGGTCTACAATTAAGAGCGTTACATATACTCTTTTTTAAGAAATACTTAAACAAAATTCAGTCAAATGACTTCAATTTCTTTATAATAGTTAAACATCCAATATAAATATACATTTAACTTCTTCAACCACTTGATGATGGTCTCAAAGGTGAGAAAAATGACGAATGTGAGATATCCAATGACAGGTTGTCGTTGAGGACGACTAATGTATTTCTCATTTAGTGGTAATACAAAATGATAACGACTGAAATAGTCAATACAAATGTATACTATTTCTTGCAAATAAAAGCATTACATCACACATAGTAATGTAACTAGTTTGAGAACGAATGTACGAATGAGACGATAGACATAATGTAGCGTGTTAGAGAGTGTACGAATGAGACAATAGACATAATGTAGCGTGTTAGAGAGTGTACGAATGAGACAATAGATATATATATATATATATATATAATCCTCATTTCCCTCCACTATATTACCTAGCAGCTCCTATTCGAGCTCTTTAAGCTTCATGGGTTCAGCACAGAGCATTGTGCACAAGGCTTTGAGCTCCTGGCTTTAGAGCTCTTGGCTGTGAGCGCCCGTGTTATAAGTGCAAGCCAATACAACGCTCTGATCTTCCCAATGAATTGCTGTGCAAATTTTATATTAAACGGCATGTGCTATTACATATGGATATAAAATTATTGTTTATATGGACTTCTTTCATTTCAGATTACCCATATATTTTGCGAGAAAGAATGATGACAATATCCATGAATAATAGTAATATTAAAAACAAAACTCACTATAAAAATAAGAAAATGTTTGCCCATTTGTGTGTGACTCGCAGCAACTGGCTAGACTTCCCCAAATTTTCACAATACACTAAATGACACAGAATCAAATACTTTGTCAAAGTCAAAACTGCTTCTAATATACAAGAAAAGAAGGAAAATATATTTATTAAGTACAAAGAGTTCTTGTAAAGCTATGTTGTGAATCCTTTAGTAATCGATATAAATGAATCCTTATGTGGTTGACATCTTAAAATATTAATGAACGTCTTATGCAATTATTGATTTTTACGTTTAGACGTTAAGCAAATTGCATTAGACGTTAAGCTAATTTGACGATGGCGATCTATTCTCTCTTCTTAAAAAATTTCACCACCTTTGCAACTCTCAACGTTACCGGTATCCTGCTTAATTCTAACTATTAAATATAGAAGTCGTTCTTCAAGAACCCTAGGAAATACCTCTTTTGGCCCCGAGAATTTGTTCAAAGTTAATTTTTCTATTTGTTTAATAGTTTGATCCCTTGTAACAATAAAACTAGTCAACTTGTCTTCACTACAACTACATAGATTTGTTAAGTTGTAGGAATAATGTCAATTTCTTTATTCGTAAATACAGGGACAAAGTACTTATATAAAATACCACACATATCTCTGTTATTGTTAGTTTCATGACGTCTCAATTTTCAATGGCCTTGGATTAGCTTTGCTGTCATTTTACAACTGTAGACACCATACAGTTGCTGTGAACACCGTATGAAGCTGTGAACACTATATTGAAGCTGAGAACACTGTACTAAAGCTGCGAACACCATAAAGTGAGTACCATGCTGCTGAGGCCAACTTAATTCTAAATTATTGATTTCCTGTGTTTTTTTTTTCTATTTATATCTATAAAAGTGAATGTCTGTTAGTCTGTCCAAGATAGTAGGCCAGACGCTTGGTGCTAGTTTCACCCAACTTTTCAAGACGACACATAAGTGGTATGTGACTGTTACAGGTTGGCTGGGTCAGCAATATTGCCTCCCTTTAAGAAATATCGGTTTCGACAGTGCCAGCGATATTTATAAAGTCTGAAATTGAGAATTTGTTTTTCACAGAGTTTTGAGCAGTTTTTCATCTTTTTTTAGTATATTTTCTGAGGGAGAGAGAGAGAGAGAGAGAGAGAGAGAGAGAGAGAGAGAGAGAGAGAGAGAGAGAGAGATGGATGGGTGCCTCATCTAGTTAATTACTTTAGCATTATTTTTGTTTTTATTCAATATATTTTATTTCTCTAGTTTCTTATTATTTTTGTTCTCTTATGTTTTGCAATTCGTTTCATTTACAACGGGTCTTGCTGGTCGGCGCTCGATCCCCGATGCTCAAACAGGCTGGGCACCGTTTTTCGGTTTTCAATCTTACTCTTGTCAATATCTTCTTTTGTTCTGCTTGTTCTTTTCATTCCTTTTCGCATTTCTCCCTTCACATATGGCCCAGCAGCAGCGAGCAAGTGCACCTGGACAATACCTGCTAATTAAGGAACATCTCTGTGAAAAGAAAGGAGCCTGAGACGTAATATGAACCCGACCAAAGGTGGATTGACGTGGATTTTGTTGACTCTAATAACCTAACCTAACCTAACCTAACCTAACCTAACCTATTTTCTGCTTTTGAAGAGAATGGAGGAGGGGGGAGGATGGGTGGAGGATGGGTGGAGGATGGGGAAGAGGAGATTGAGTGGTGGAGGAGGAGGAGGAGGATGGGGGAGGTTGATGGGGATAGGAGGATGGGGGGGGGGGGAGGAGGATGAAGGAAAATGAGGATATTGGAAGAGGAGAATGGGGAGATTAAGAAAGATAAAGAGTGATCAATTTTCAACCTCATGTTTCCCAATAATAAACAGTTTTGAAAGATGGTCGTGTTTCTATGAGTGCGTGGGAGCATCTCTGGCTGAACTCCAGTTAACTTTATCTATCAGAAATGTGTTGAAAAGTTAGTTGACCTGCCCGTCATCATATATAAACTCCGATACTTTAATTTCCGAAATGAATACCTTAGGAAAGTTTCAGGTAGATGCTCACCTGAGACCTGAGATGTGTACTCACCTAGCTGCGTTTGCGGGGGTTGAGCTCTGGCTCTTTGGTCCCGCCTCTCAACTATTAATCAACTGGTGAACAGATTCCTGAGCCTACTGGGCTCTTTTATATCTATATTTGAAACAGTGAATGGAGTCATTCTCCACCACATCACTACTTAATGCATTCCATTTGTTAACTACTCTGACACTGAAAACATTCTTTCTAATGTCTCTATGGCTCATCTGGGTACTAAGTTTCCACCTGTGTCCCCTTGTTCGTGTTCCACCCATACTAAAGAGTTTGTCTTTGTTCACTCTGTCAATTCCCTTGAGAATTTTGTAGGTGGTAATCATGTCTCCCCCTACACTTTTGTTTTCCAGGGATGTGAGGTTCAGCTTCCTTAGCCTTTCCTCGTAGCTCATACCTCTCAGTTCCGGGACAAGTCTGGTGGCATACCTCTGAATCTTCTCTAATGTTGTCTTGTGTTTAACTAGGTATTGACTCTAGGCTGGAGCTGCATATTCCAGGATTGGTCTGACATAAGTAGTATACAAGATCCTGTTAAGTGTGTGTGTGTTAACTGCAAGCCTCGGTTGTCGAGGAGTTGGTTTACAAATTAGGAGGAGGAGAAGGAGGAGGAGGTTAGGTTACCAGAAGGTTGTGGTGTTCCGTATTCTTCAGGGATGCTCAGAGGAGGTAACGAGGTCTGTATTCATCACCGCCGTGGGAGATTACAGAGTGCACAGTCTCCACTGACGGAGTCTCGGCACGGTAATGAAGACTCCCGCGGGACCTCTGCATGATGTAGTTAATGAGAAGATTATTATCCCTGGCCTGGTATTGAGAGAGGTTCTTTGAT